AACCTGGAAGGCTCTTTTCCCTATTCCCACCTTCTCCCACTTTTCCCACTCCAGGAATCCCAAAGGGAAGCAAGTTTTCCTCAAAACCCTTGGAATTGGCAGCTTATCCCCAGAATCCTTGGAATTCTCAGCCTCCCTGTGGGATCCCAGCTCCGAATCCATGCCCGGATCCCGCCCCAAATCCCAAGGGAAGAGCTGTTATTCCTTATCCCCCAAACCTGGGAGGCTCTTTTCCCTGTTCCCACTTTTCTCCCACTTTTCCCACTCCAGGAATCCCAAAGGGAACCAGTTTTTTTCCCCCAACCCCTTGGAATTCGCAGCCTCCCCGCGGGATGCGGGACCCCCGCTCCCGATCCATGCCTGGATCCCGCTTTTCCAGGCGGGAGCTGGAGAGTCCGGCCCCTCTCCTTCCCCCAGGATATCCCAGAAATCCCTTGGGAAGGGCTGGTATCCATCCCCCCTTCCCGCCCCGCCGGGAAAAGCTCCTCGTGGTCCCAAAGGTCGGGAGCCACTTTTCCAGCCCTTGGATCAGCCCTTGGATCAGCCCTTGGATCGGCCGGGATCAGCCCTTGGATCGGAATTCCCTACGAACCCGAATTCCAGCGGCGTCCGGGATGGTAAAGGAAAAGCCGCCAGGGGATTTTTCCCAGGTTTTTTCTGGGGGGGTGGGAAAGGTGGATTCGGGCGGCCCAGGTGGGATTTTATTCCCGGTTTTTCTTACGGATTTAACGACCAAAATCCACCAAGACCCAGGGAAGGAAAGCCGGGGGATTCCCGGGATAACTCAGGCTGCCGCGGGAATTTTTTTTCCCCGACCTGTGGGTTTAAAATTCCTTGGATTTTGTTATTTTGGTGTGGGGGGGTTTCCTCGTTTTCCCGACTTTCTCGTGGATCGGCTCCCGGTTTTCAGTCGGGTTCGGGATGCAGGGAGCCGCCGCCCCCTCCCCCTCGCTCCCCGGGATCTCTGGGATCTCTGGGATATCTGGGATACCGGGAATAGCTCCCTGATGGCCTCCTGGGAGTGTCCCAACCCTGGGAAGGGGGATGGGCTGAGCCCGGGGGGAGGGGAGGGGAGGGAAGGGGAGGTTTGGGAAGGTTTGGGAAGGGAAGGGAAGGGAAGGGAAGGGAAGGG